TCACCACACATATAAGTAGAGGTAAGTAGACCGCGCCCGCTGTTTTACACCAATAAATCGCGGCAAAGCGAAGGATTGCGACGATTCTTTGGTGCCCTGGAGTTAATCAATTTTACAACTTCCCGGAAAATTAAATAGCCCTTATCATTTTTGCATCTTGTCTGAGAATTTTAAATCCCTGAACCAAATTACCTTTAACCTGTGATTATTTTTCTCAAGATCATGTCAGGCCAGAATAGCAATTGAAAGTCAGCGCACATCTTCTGTGTGTTTCCATAGTCGTTTCGTGATTAGCAACGTGACAACATGTGAAATATACTATCTAATGTTTGTCTCATTAATTGTTGTGGGTGCCAAAGTCACGTGAAACTCAGGTTAAGGTCATTTACTTGAAATGATCTCGATTAACTTCCTTAAATTTACACCTTTTTACTGTGGTTTTTAGGAAGTGTTGGTTTGAAATTTAGCACCCATTTTAGCATTTGAAAACTAGGCATACTTAAGTATCAGTTATAGTGCCTATGCCTATGTTGCCAGGCTGTAAGTGCTGGTTAACATTATATATAGCCGTCAGAACGCCTAATGGGTGATCTGGCGTGACCCGTCCTACCCCAAATGCTTTGATACATCATCTTTGATCAAAGCAAGTGCAAATTCGGAGTCAGAAGCAAGCCAAGTCCTAGCAAACTTCACTTGTAGAAATTCTAGCAGGACCCAAATTTCCGTGCTTTTGGGTTATTAACCTGATCTGGGAGGTCAACCAGTGACCTAGGATCTCAGCATTGACCAGGACATACAAATAATTGGCTTTTTCTCGTCAGCGATGACCAGAACCCTCAAATCATCAGATTTCTCTCGTCACGAGCAGCACGCTCTTTTTTTATTTTCAGCGAAGCTCTGGCTCTTTTTATCAAGGGCCGAATGGCTGAGGGTTTCTACGCCCCTCCGCTACATGTAAGACGCTGAAAAGAAATGCCTAAATAGGTGAGGGTTAAATATCGATTGCTTTTTAAGTGCCGAAGCCCGAAACACTTTGATTTACTTCGATAGCAGTTTTTAAGACCAACGAGCTCGAATAATATAACTTCTTGAACAATGTAAGCAACACATAAAATGAATCGTGAGAGAAGCGGCTCAGGATTAATTGAACTATGAGACACTAAATAAAAAACGGCATAGATTAGAAACTGCACCTAACTTGCACTGGTTTTTAAACCTTTTCGTTGCAGACTGGTAGATTAAATTTTAGGATTGATTTCAGCTGATGCTCAAATGGAGCTATTCATTCGTTCATACATGCGACCATCCAATTCCATTCATAAAAGAAGCCAGTGACAAAATTGTTTATTTTAGATAAGTGTGAAATAAAAGCTCAATAAAAGTTTAATGATACGGCAAATTTGACAGCTTTTATAATGAACAGACAAATAACTCTAACGAATCAAGGTTGCGAGCCCCAAATAGGGGAGAGTGAGGTATAGATGAGCCAAGGGGCAAGTTTAGCCACCCCATGTTTCTCAGCTCCTCTGGCGCTGATTGACTTGAGCTTCCATGTGCCGTTCGCTTACGATGCTGTAGTCTTTCACGTGAGACGGCAACGTTCTCACGCTCAGCACCCGGTAACATGTGGTATCGCCCCTGATAACTAAGACATGTTTTGCCTTTAAAATGAGATGGTTGTTATCTGCGGTGCATGGTTATTTTCCTTAGCGGGTGTCATTAATCGAAAATGGCCACGGGTGGGGCAAGATGAGCCATTTTCACCTGGGGGAAGATGAGACGGATAAGCCATTGTTGTCTCCGCTGTCGAAAACCAAACTGAGCTGCGCTTGTATCTGCTGAATAAAAATGGTAGGAAATTGTTTTTCTTTGTTGATAACACAAGTTGTAAGTGATTTGCAGATTATCTGAAGGATAAAATGATTTCTTTCGTGATAGAAAACTTGACGAGTTATTGGAAGGCTTAAAACAGTCACTTTTTGATGGAGGAAAAAACTTTGCCATAAGTATGTATGTCATGGAGTAAATAAAAGAGCCCACTCTTCGCCGCGCCCGGGAAAAGAAGAGGTTCGCTTTTTCCTTCCATGCTCAACTTTCCCCACGACGTGTCTCAACTTACCCCGCCCATGGGGTAAGATGAGCAACGTGCAAGATGATTTTTGACGTAGCCTTTCAGTACAAAAATAAGCGGTATGAAACATTTCTGGCCACCATTACATGCGCGATGACCAGTCTGTCCGTCCAACTCGTAAACGCAGAAAAATGATCAGTAAGTTAGCCTGTAGCTTACGAAAAACAAAAGCGGCTCAACTTACCTCATTCTTCCCTACGTTACACAATTGAGGGCATTTTTTTTTAGGCCATCACAGTATTTGTCAACAATGGTTGTTTGGGGGGGCTGAGGAGGGTGGTTACTGGCTCATAAACTGCCCCCCCCCCCCAAATAAAAGAAAACGAAACCGATCATCCGCGAAAAGAACTATTGAGCTCGAACCAAGGTGACGAATCGATTTATAGGTATGCAGGATGACTAACGATGCCACTTTTTGACTTCTTGTGTCAAATAAATTCCATCATCTGGATAGCACGTCAACATGCTATTTGACATTTTACAACAAACGTATACTATTTGGCGCGACTAGCCTCATAAACGTTCTGAAACTAAAACCGTTTCTTCGCAATTAACTTGGACCACGTTATCCCAGCTTATGCACGACAAAAATAAAATAATGCTTCAGGATCACTGGCCTGAATTCGAGTGCTTAAAGTTTACTCAAAACCGGTGTGGCTGAGGCACTCTTCGCTACACCTCGTGACGGCCACCATTGTGTTTCATTTTTCGGTAAGCTATAAGTTAATAAGGAAAGGATTGGTGAGTGGGTTGAAAATAATGCTTCAGGATCACTGGCCTGAATTCGAGTGCTTAAAGTTTACTCAAAACCGGTGTGGCTGAGGCACTCTTCGCTACACCTCGTGACGGCCACCATTGTGTTTCATTTTTCGGTAAGCTATAAGTTAATAAGGAAAGGATTGGTGAGTGGGTTGAAAATAGCCCCCCTCCACCCCCCCTCCTTCTTCTGGAAACATAAGTAATCGAAAGATCTGGCGATGGTTTATCCACCTCCTCTGCCGCCGCGCTGCGAGGCCTCGATTCGTTCGGTATGTGGCTTCCTGAGCGGTCCTCCCCGGAGGCAAGGTGAAAGGTCATGGCCTGTATCAGAAATTTATACGTTGCTGAATATGTTTTATAGTTCTTCCAAGGCCTTGCACACCGTTTTATTATATCGGATAAACATTGCACTTTCTTGTCAATCAATACATTTAAAGAAAACTTGATCATAGTCTTATACTGCGGGAATTGTAGTTCTGCTTACGGTTGCCTCTTTATGATACGGGCCACCACCACCTCCACTGCGCTGGAGCTCAGGCGTTCTACCCCTCCCCGCTACGGACCGGCCCTCGGGCTAGGTGTGTTAGTACTGAGCGCAAACCTGTAGTAGTCACGTGACTTTCATTCATGTAGCGGGAACGGAAGCTATAGGCGATACCAAGGACGGGCTCTGGGGAGGCAGCCGGCGCGGAAAAATAGCACGATTGTAGTTTTGGAAGAATATCTGTTGCGGTAAGAGGAATTATACAAAACATACGTGCTAGGAGCAAACATGTGTTATTCCTCCATACTTTGCGCTACATTTCCTTTCTCCAATGGCCAGCACTTAGCAAATAATAGCGCAATTCTAAATTGGTAATATATGTGTACAGTAGCAACTGCGGGTCCCTGTACCCCCGGGCACCAAGGGGGGTCATGACCCATGTGGCCCCCCTTGGATCTGCCACTGGTACATATTATATTGATTTGTAATGGCGTTATGGCTTATGCAATATGCAATTGCAGGCACTTGGTATCCCTCACTTATCCCTCATTGGGGGCTCTGGCGGGCTCCTGAGGGCCCACGTCTATCTCCGGGAGCCCTAGACAGGCTCCTTTGGGTCCTTTCAGTCCACTATAGCATAAGAGGTCTCCATGCGAGTCCTATACATCTGAGGACGTACCCTGACGTCTGAGGTACTCAACTGCAGCTCCAATGGTCTCTTACACTGGCGGATCCATGGAGGGGGCATTTAGGGCCATGCCCCCTTCCCAGAGGCCTAAAGTGACCCGTTTGCCCCCTCCCCCAAGCGATAATGAAGCACAGTTCAATCAGTGCCTGGCCCAGGAGCCGAGTTAGACCACCTCCCGTTTTACCATCTCCCGGCCCGCAAAGGGACCCAAGCACTGACTCGAAGCGGGTTAACTGGTCGACAAAAGCAATAGTAAGTGTTTACAAAGTAATATAAAGGCATGGGTCGGGTGGGCTACCATTTATATATTTTTATTTTTGGTTAAAAAAAAATATTCATAATGTCAGGGCTGTGACGAAAAATAAGTGGCCTAAATCCGATGAGAAAACAGGATTTGGGGGTACCCTAGGTTTGGCTCCTGCATGAGTTGGCCCCCCCCCCCCAAAAACGCAAGTCTGGATCCGCCAGTGCGCGTAAGTATTTATTTCATGGCGCAGGAAATTACTTTTTCATAAACAGGTATATACGCATCTCGTAGGTATATGCATGAATTACATACGATGTGATTCTAATGGCAGTGGGCACCTTAAATATGCGATTCAAATATTATCATAAATACGCTGCGTTACGTTCAATAACTCGGTATACCGAGTGCCCATGATACTGGCCCGCCGTGCATTTGTGTACTGCGGGTTGCCTATATGCTTTCTAGACACGTTTGTCACAATGAAACGCGTTAGCGCCGGCCGCCGGATACACAGCTCGCCACTCGTCTCGTCAGTATTCAGAATTAGCAAGCAGACCTGGTGATTAAGAATCAGTTTGTGCTGAGAATTATGAGCTCTTCTCAAAAGCAGGAGAGGTAAGCGATGGAATACAAGTTAGGTATGCTTTCCTTTTGCCAAATGGGGACGAGTAATATGCACTGAAAATGGAAACACTGATAAAGAAACATTTATTATAAGACAAATGCACTTACCACGGGATGGAAACAATGTGACCACATCTTCCTACCAACAATGGGATCAGGTTTGTAACGTTCGGATCGAACGGTGATGCATTGATCACAAGTAGGTATATTTTCATTCCTATTTTCAATTGTTCTCTGTACCATTAAATGTCGTTGAACGTGAACCTATAGGCATATTTCGGTACTCCTAGTCCTCTCCCGACGACGCTAGCACGGCAGTGGAGTTCGGTCGGTACTCCAGCCAGTGGATCGCCTCCAGACCACACTCATAACCCAGGAAGATGACGGCGTTCACCACAAACGCTCGCGCCGCCAGCAGCGTGCCGCCGGCGAACAGGGCTCGCGGCCCGTCCCGGAGGACTGTGAGCCGCGCGCAGTGCACCACGCCGCGGTACAGCGGCCGCGCCGGGTCGTCCGCCTGCAGCTTGCTCTTGATCACGTCCAACGGCAAGATAGAGAGCCAGGCGGCGGTGCCGGCCAGCCCTCCGGCCAGCAGGGCGGCGCCGCGCCGCGACACCGCCGCGCGCCGGCGCAGCTCCCAGCTGGCCCGCTCGTACAGCGTGATGTAGAGGCCGAACGAGGCCACGTCTCGGCCGGCCATGGCGCCCAGACCGTGGTACCAGCCGCGCACACCGCGCCGCCGGTACAGCTCGGCCAGACAGCCGAGCGGACCGCGCGCCGCGGTCGTGTAGTGCGCGCGCCAGCCGGCGCCCTCAGTGCGCGTCTGCAGCTGAATCTTCACCAGGTCCACGGGCGTGGCGACCACCAGCTGCGCCACGCCGCCCACGCAGCCGGCCACGAACAGCCGACCCGTGTCGGGCGGCCTGTCGGCGGAGCCGCCGCCCGCCGGGCCGCCCAGCGCCCAGTCCAGGCCTCGCAGTGCGCCCGAGTACGCGCCGAAGTAGATGGCGTTCAGCAGGCCGTTAGTGACCAGGGGAAACGCCATGCCTTTGTAGAGGCCGCGCGTGCCCTCGTGTTTCAGTGTGGTGCGCAGGGTGGCCAGAGGAGAGCCGCCGAGCGTCTGCTGGCGGACCTTGATGGTGTCGGCGGGGTGGCCCACCAGGATACCGGCCATGCCGCCCACACTGCCGGCCGCCAGCTCGTGCCACACAGAGGTCATTGCAGTGACTGGAGTCAGAGGGAGATCGCAGGCAGAGCGGTGGAGGGTCACCTGTCTGGGTCGCCAGTCTGGGTCACCAGTCTGGGTCACCAGTCTGGGTAGCTAGCCTTGGTCACCAACAGATTCAGGCAATTGGTGGGTCTTCGTTAACGGTCCTTTCTGTTCAGGGTAGCAGGGTCACAAACCGTTCATTAATTAAGGAAGTCCGCTGGATGGACAGAGCAAAACCAAGAGAACACTCGAGCACCGACGGACACACCTTCACCTCAGCTCAGATCAGCTCAGGCCGTTTCGGTAGAGCTCACTTCAGTTCACCTCAGTTTCTCGAGTCTGTCTATGTAGCCAGCCACACCACAGTCGTCCGATGTCCTCTCCGTCGTGAAGGTCGTATCCCCACCGGGAGGAGCGGTGGTCAGAAGCACTCTACTCCAGGAGCGTTGATCCGACTGTCACCTCCCGCTGTTACACAACTAAACAGGGCAGTTCGGGCCGAGTTCACAGCGCGCTGTCCTGGTCACATAGCCTTTATAAAACGCCTGGCTGGTATAAACAATCCAGACGGGAAATGTATGCCATCCAGTGGACGTCCTGACGTCCTCTGACTTTATCACCAGGCGCTGTCATAAATTATATAACAAGCCGACACAATACGGCATACCTATCCGTTGATCGGTACCCTTATCCATCAATACGCGACATTGTTGCTTTTATAGATTCTATTGCAACTGTTGTAATGTTGCCAAAGCGTGTTGTCAGTGTCCAAGTGTGAGGAAGCAGTGGGGAGAAGCTTCTTAGACGGAATATTATCAATCCGCGAAGGGAATGATCAATTCAGCAACAGGACCATCCATCTCGGGGGATCTCAGCAGCGCGCGAGCCACTCAGCTCGGGATCCGCGGATACTGCAGGCAGACCGTCGCGACTGGTGCGGTGCATGGATGGGTGACATGTTCTGCACCGAGGCAGCTAGCGCAGAGCGTTTGGGCAATAACAGCGAAACAAGCAGGGTTGTATACGACTCAATCAATAGCAATCAATTCAATCACGACAAATTTGGGAAACCAATCAAATCAATCAAGTCAGAGCAGTTTTCGGGAATTGATTCAATCGACTCAAACGCGACAATGAAAGGAATCAATCAACTCAATCAAACGACTCAAACCAAGATATGCATTAGGTTTTTTGCCCCACCAACTTGGAAAAGTGTCCATAGCAGTCTAGTGTACCTACCTACCTACCTACCTACCTACAGAAGAAACATAAAAATATTGTCATTTAAAATTATAAATTACCATGCCATTCAAAGTTTCTATGTCATAAGGAAGGATGCCTAGTGATGGACAGGTGGATCATGATATTGAGGTTCAATGGGTATAGAATTGGAGCAGAAGTTTCATTTAATGGGTGCAAAATAACCCAGTAGTTGACTCGCCCCTTAACCCAAATCACCACCTTTCACCTAAAAGTTGTCAATTTAATTTTGGCCATATTCCAGCTAAGTCATCAGGCCATCTACCTCATGTAAAGCCCCTGTCTGTCTCTTATGTGAGTTATGCGGAGCTCTTCTGAAATGAATCCTGAACATAATGAACCTAGCTAGGTTTCATGCCACACTGACACCATATGAAAGTGTTGAAAATGTGCTACAAATTTGACAACTTCATTAGGTATGCTTTATGAAGACAGCAGGAAAGCAGGTAGGTACCTACTTACCTGCCTAGATGTGTCCACTGGCTACCAACAGTACCAACGAAGGTAGATAGGTAAGTACCTGTGAGGTAGGTCAATCATTCCTTCCTTTCCTTATGAATATAGCCTGTGATAAATCTGGTACATTTATGAAACAAAGTTGATAAATTGCAAGATCATAGTGAAGGAAAATTAAAACGCGAAAACGGCACGGTGAGACTGCGTTTTTTGCCAATAAGTATGCTAAGCTTTTATAAATCCTTATTCTACGTCTTTTGATTTTTTGGTAAGATGACGTCATTGATTATCATGTAGTATGGTAGCTCATCATAAAATAAATCGGTTGTACAACACCAATTTCGTTTTGATTATTATATCATTTGAAATAAAACCACTATTAATAATATTCGGTAACATATTTTAAGGAAAATGAAATATATTTAATATGTCATGCTTTCTGCTTAGGCTCTCAGGAGAAAAGGATCAACAAACGTTCTGCTGCAAATTAAACAATGCAGCAAATTAGCTATTAATTAGGCCCGTAAACGTAATTAGCGAGACGAAAACGGCGCTTTTGTTTCAGCTATTTTTGTAGGGGTTTCAGATATTTATAGAGTTCAGTGGGTTGTTTCTGAGGAGATGTGGAGGTGTGAATTGTTAGCCCGCGCCCCACTGGGGGGGCTATTTATAGCCCCCCCCTCCCGTTTTTCTGCAATAACTTCCAAACCGCTTGACGTATCGACGCCAAACTTTCAGTACCTTTGGCTGCATCAATTTGACACCTTGTGTCAAAATTTGAACTTCGTACCTACCATAGGTCAGCCGGAAATGACGTCAGAGTGACGTCATGTTCGGCCGATTTCGACGCAAAACATTGAACCACGGCAATCGCTTCCAAGAGCTCAGTTTTTAAGCTAGATCCAATTTCTTTGCATGAGAGGACTCAGAATAGACTGCGCTATCAAACTGCTATCTCGGATTTTCGAATCTTTAAAAAAATTCGGAAATTTTATATAATAAAACTCAAAATTTATATTTTTACATTTTTTTCAATTTTTTTTTTACTTTTCGAAAAAACCGGAATATATGTGATAGAACGCATTATTATGACTAACTCTAGCAAGTTTTAGCTAAATATCTTCAAAAATGGCCAAGTTATACGCATTATTGCAAAAAATTAACAATTATTAATTTTTCAAATCAATTTTTCAGCATGAATTTGACATCGTACGCCAATATAAATAGCACCATCGTGCTCCTGAGCCCAAACTGCATCCAATAGACACCTTTTGTGTTGAAAAATTTTAACTTCAAAATTTGACCTTTTTTGACCTGAAAGTGACCTGACCTGAGCTAAATTTGACTCAAAATGACCTCGAATGTCACAGACGACATCAAATTCGAAATCTCTGACCTAAATGGACCATAAAACATGTGTCACGTGACCGACGGATGATATAATATTTTCGTGACCTGTGATGACCTGACCTTGACCTGAAAATCAAAGTACAAGTTTGGTACCCTCAGAGTATCTAGAGCATCTGTTCACGAGTGTGTGAACCAAAAATGAGCCTGATCTGACATGTAAGACGGCGGCCAGAGCCCAAAACGTGAAGAAGCCAAAATGCTAATAATTTTTACTTTGACCTGACCTGTGACGTCATCGGTGACCTCGAGGTCAATGAAATTAGGTTTTGTTCGACAGTTTTTCCGGGGCTATCAGACACCGTTTGAATTTTGACGATCGGCCCAGTAGTTTCGGAGTTAGGAGGGGGGGCTATGAATAGCCTCCCCCCCCCCAGTAGGGCGTGTTATACGCAGACCCCAGTGGGGCGCGGGTTAATTAATCACACTTTATTAGTATATAGGGCCTTGCACTTTATCATCTGGATTAAAAAAAAACGTTTCCTGCTGAGTGCAGAAAGGTAGGTAGGTGCATCGCCAGGTTCTATCACCAGGATATCACCAGGACGTGTTTTTATTCTGATGACTTTGTCTATAAATGGGTCATCTTACCCGTGGATGATATGCTAAATAAACTAAGGATTGGAGCAGTTATTGCAGTTGAAAGTCAAAGTTGGCTGTTCATGTTTAGGCCCTGTTCTTTATTTGGCCTTCTACCCCATATTGCAGTTGTGATGACAAGCAGTTTTCAGTGTAGTTTTGTGATCTTTGATGTCATCAATTGGTGTCATTATTTTTCGTCAACTAAAACTTATTTGAACTTTCCATTCAATCGACTCAATCATACGAGTCACTCTAATTTTCGGGAATCAAATCAGTCAACCAGTCGCTAAAGCCAAACGAGTCAGTCAACCAGTCATCTCGAAAAGTCAATCGACTCAATCCAATCAACTCAAAATACGCGTTGAAACAAATCAATCAATTCAATCGACTTGATTGGTATACAACCCTGGAAACAAGGCCGCAAGGAGCGGCACATGGCTGAGGCCTGCCTGCATGCGCTGCAGCTCACCGGTCCAGGCGGAGCCGATGTGTTTTGGTATCTGGTGGAAAATCACTGGGCGGTGACCCTGGATAAGCGAGCTCTTGACTTCTGTTTATTTATCCTAGCCCGTGTGTCACAAATGTCCGTGCTCGAGGCGCCCAGTGATGTACCTAAACACAGTAAACAGTCATCGTGTCATAGTCGGGAGCATTCATATACTTGTCCATTGGGCATCTAAAAATTCAGCACGCAAAAAAATATGTGCCTAACTACAGAATTACTCCTATGATAAGATTGTTTAACCCGCGCATTGGGGTATTTTCCATAACGCGAATGACTGAGGGGGGCTCTCCAGAGCCCCCCCCCCCCCCTCCTATATCCGAAACTACTGGGCCGATCGTCAAAATTCAAACGGTGTGTGATAACCCTGGAAAAACTGTCGAGCGAAATCTATTTCATTTACCTCAAGGTCACCAATGACGTCACAAGTCAGGTCAAAGTAAACATTATCGGCATTTTTGCTTGTTCACAATTTAGGCTCTGACCGCCGGCTGACAAGTAATAGCAGGCTCATTTTTTGGTTTACGCACTCCTTGATATATGCCTTAGATACCCTGAGGGTACCGAACTTTTACTTCGAATTTTTCAGGTGAAGGTCATCCTAGGTCACGAAAATTGTATATCATGTATCGGTCACGTGACGCAAGTTTTATGGTTTATTCGTAGATTTCGAAAACATTAACAATGTCGTCTGTGTCATTTGAGGTCATTTTCAGCTGAATTTACCGGAGGTCCGGTCACTTTCAGGTCAGAAAAAGGTTAAATTTTGAAAATAAAATTTTTCAACAAAAAAGGTGCCTATCAGATGCAATTTGAGCTCAGGAGCACGATGGTGCCACTTATATTGCTGTACGATGTCATAAACGTACTGAAAATGGTTCTGAAAAATATATAGGCATTTGTAAAATTTAAACTAATTAAAACTAAGCTCTTGAGAGCATTTGCCGTAATTCAATATTTTGCATCAAAATCGGCCGACATGACGTCACTCTGACGTCATTCCCGGCCAACCTATGGTAGCTAGAGTGTTGAAATTTTTATGCAAGGTGTTCAATGGATGCTGCTGAGGGTACCTCAAGTTTTGTGTTGATCCGTCAAACGATTTATAAGATATTGCCGAAAAACGGGAGGGGGGCTCTGTATAGCCCCCCCCCCAGTCATGCGCGGGTTAACATTCCTCATTCACTCAACGAAAGGCTAGACGCTGCTCGGCATGCCTCGTTCGGCAGCATTTCTATATTCTATTCGATGCCTGACATTTCACGCCCATAGCTTGAACCAGTCTTCTATAAACCGTATATGTATTTACACCGAGTCTGACCGACATCCGGGGAGGAGGTTTTGCATCGCTCCCGCCGTCAGAAGGGCATCCATGTCGGAGAGGCACTGGACGAAGGCGCCGTGGAAGGTGCTGCTGGCCGCCCGCTGCCGCTCGGCCGGACTCAGACAGGCGGCGTAGCCCAGGAAGTGCATCAGACCGTAGTCTCGACAGGTCACGCGGCCGTCCCCGTCACAATCCTATCGGCCAGAACAGCTCTGATAAGGCACCTCGATAGATAGACTCAGACAGAGTCAAGAAGGGTCACCTGCGCCGAGCAGTGCTATCAAACGCTGCACAGATAGAGAGTCCTTCAGAATAAGTGCTATAAGATCGAATCGCCCAACAGACAGAACCCCTCCTGTCGAGCCGATGCCACTAACCCGACTGAGTTGGGTCATGTATGACGTCACTGCTGCAGCGGCACACTCGATATCGGCGGCACAGTGCTGAAAGTCTGCAACAGAGCGACCCAGCTGTGCAGTTATAGCGATGGCAGCTCGTCAACTAAGACGGTCAGTGGAATGAGGCTTACTGAACCATTGGTCACGAGGTCATTTACTGGCGGATCCAGGGGTATTTGGGAGAAATGCGTTGCCTGAACTCGACACAATTTTGCGTTTTCGAGAATAAAATGAAAACAGAACAGCTTTATGAGAAAAAGTCTGTTTTAGAGTGCTCAACAGTGCATATTGAATCGAAATCCGGAGACTTCTTGGTAGTTGAAGAAACTTCTTTGGGTTATGCCCCTCGCAGCATCAAAGACCGCCTTTCTGGATCCGCCAGTGAGGTCATTCGAGTTAGCAAATCGGTAACACTGTTAGAACATATTTCATGGCACTCAAAAGTGGAATTTAAAAAGAAAATCAACCTTTTAGCATATGATCCGTCTATCATTTTCCCAATCGTTGTTTATTTCTATTTGATCCACCTATGGTTCCGCCACTACCCAATCAGCATTTCCTTAGATAAGTTCAATTCTTGTTGAGAATATGCATTTGAATTTTTAATTTGATGTGTAAAAATTGCGTCTCGAGTCGTTGTTCGGTAGTAGGTATTGGTTTGTGGCAGGAACTCACCGAATTGTCGGAATCTCTCTATAGCTGTGACGTTGGAATCTTGCCAAAACGGTCGTGACATGTGAAACGGTCCGCAGAGATCAGCCGACCCCTGTGACCCCGGGCCCGTGCAGGTGGAGGCCAGGTCACAGCCGGTGGCAGCGTGACACAGACAGGCCAGGCAGTACCGGTCCGGGGCAGCGCCTGCACGACAGCAAACGGCACACCGTCATGTAAACAAGCCTTTAAAAGGCTGCAGCTGCACAGGTCAAAAAGATCACACAAGGCCACCAAAATTTTCGTTTACACACAGGACCTGGCATGTGTTACCTACTCGTTTCGTCTTTCAAATACACAGCGGATGAACATCCGTCATAATGATGTCCGTAACAACATAATGCATGCAGAGCGGTATTACAGAACTAGCGCGATAGCTCTTTGTACCTCACCCTTTCCGTTGATTTGGCCATGAAGCGCGGCATGTCCGACCACTGCGGCCGCCACCAAAACAAACGTCACCGACGTCACTCGCATCACCGTGCGTGGGATCACCGGCATCAGCGCGGCCGCCGCACCCGCCTGGCGCGACACAGCGGGACTCGGGAGGGTGTCCGCTCGAGCCGCGACCACCAGCACCGCCCGAGCTGCTGACGCCGCCCGCTGCACCCCTCCCCCCGTCACGGAGTCGGGTAAACTGCACGGCCTGCACGCCAGTCGGCGGCTCTGGCCGGCCTGCTGTTTGCTCTGCAGTTGCCAGGAAGACAGCTACCGTGACAGGGCGCACCGGGCTGGGCAAGCTGAGAAGGAGTCGAGAACAGGTCAACTTACCCTTTTTTCTCTCACCTCTCTCTTCTCCCCTTCTCTCAATCTCCTTTTCTCTCCCTCCCCTCGTCTCTCCCCTCTCTCCCTCCCCTTCTCTCTCTCTCTCTCTCTCTCTCTCTCTCTCTCTCTCTCTCTCTCTCTCTCTCTCTCTCTCTCTCTCTCTCTCTCTCTCTCTCTCTCTCTCTCTCTCTCTCTCTCTCTCTCTCTCTCTCTCTCTCTCTCTCTCTCTCTCTCTCTCTCTCTCGTGACTCTCCCAGCTCAGCTGCATGGGACGCTCGAGTGTCAGTTGGTGCCAAGGACGCCCAGCGGGAGCGGTCAGCGGCTGCCCGTCGAGGCGTTATCAGGAGCCGGTACGTACCACCCCCGCCCCCGCTCCCGCCGAGCTGACTCAGCCGCTCCCTCTCGATAAACACAAGTCATGACAAACATACAGACTACAGAGCTGTAAAGGGCTCTTTCAGTTTCTTATCGACATGCGCTCTACATGCGGCTCCGTTCAGTGGCCGAGATGCTATCGCCGCCTGTCGACTATCTTACCCGACCGTGTGATATTGGATTTATCGCTTTTCAGAGCGAGATGCAGTCGAACATGGGCAGTACCAGTGTCGCTCTACTGAGCTACCACTGCTGACTGCGTAACACGAGAGTGGCACGAGAAGTGTGAGCCAGCCTGATGGCGGCGCCGACTTCACCAGACGCGACCGACGACTGGAGAAGGTGCATAAAGCAGAAATCGGACGAGCTGTTTAACATTTGTGGCGAGAACAGTCAACTAGCAATTAATGTGGCAGTGACAGGTGTTAACGAGAGGCAAAGTTTGACGGGTCATCTTGTTGAATTTAGCTTGAATCATCAGCGCTTAGCTGTGGCTAATCTGTTTTTTCAGCTCCCATTCATCTGGCTTCAAGTGGGCCTGGCTGAGTGCCGCTGCTCCCCTTTCGGTAGACTTAATATTCTCAATCAGTTTGGGTCCGGCAGTCTGGCCGAAAGGCTCACTGGCTTCTATGATGGGCCTCAGTTGAAAGCCACCTCTGACAGTGATCTGATGCTGGAACTGGGCCCGGTGCAGTGGGTAACGGCAGACGGCACGCCCCTGACGCCGTCGACGACCCCGTGGGACGGACGTCTGGGTTCGGGTCCACAGAGTGATGTACCTGACTTGCCAGCGTCGCGTCTGATGATTGTCGAGACAGAAAACCCAGGATTCGTGCGTGTGCTGCAAGAGAGATTGGAGGACTGCCCGCACACCAAAGGACTGCCTTTTGAAAGCAGTCGAGTTAAGCACCTCATGGATGCCTTCTACCGAGTCATCTCTCCATTCAGGCAGCAAAATACCACGGGACCGTCTGTCGCCAATGTCGTGACTCATTCACAGTTGGTGTCGGTGGCCGGTCAGGTAACGGAACATGATCACGTTGCCTGCCTGTACGCTCAGGGCTGGTGGCCTTCGGAAGAGTTTTTTGAACGCCACCGCAAGCACGACTGGCCACCGAAGTCGATGAGGGACAACATTAGACGATTCGGGGTACACCTGGTGCCAGTGGGAGCACAAGGAAGCCCAACGGAGAGCTCGGAGTGGCGTTTGTCGTTCTCCAGAGCCGAACTTCTGATCGCAATGCTGCTTACAAACATTCAAGCGCAGTCGCTTGTTGCCTTCAAAACGTGCAAGTCGGCAATTGGTCAAAAAGGCAAGTCAGTGAAATCATACTTTGCCAAGACAGCTCTATTCTGGCTTTGTCAGGACCTTCCTCCAGAAATGTGGACGGATATTGTCGAAGGCGCGGAGAGAATCATCAACTTTCTCTTCAAGAGCATTAAAGCCGGCAAGCTCCCAGCTTTCCTCTGTGCTGAGATAAATCTGCTGTGGAATATGAGCAGGGCCGAGAGGAAGACGATGCTGACAACACTGAACGACATGCGGACAAACTTGCAACGTCTTTTGCTGATGAACCCAATGATACACTTTGCAGTTCGGATGGGGCTGATGGGAAAGGGAACTGGACCAGTCCCTGAGCACGAGTTGCGTGTCTGTTTCGCTCGATCTCTTGTAAGAACAAGTATTCTCGAAACCCCGAGAGATTTGAGGAAAGTGCCAGTGATGAAGGGCCGTCGACTGGCAGCTCTACTGCGGACTTCCGCGGCAACAGATGTGATGTACATGATTCCTGAGGAGCGTCACTGGTACTACCAACAGTCGAAACTATTCCAGGCGTACCTAGTAGCGCCAGAAGATGTACAGATCAGAATGCGTCTGTCCTCGAGCCCGGACGGTGGTCTGGTTTGGGATGCTGCTCCACTCGTAGGGCTGCTGACAGCCACCGACCTGGATCACATACTAGGAGACCCGGCCGCAGTGCGCGCCTGGCTCAGACGTCAGCATCGCAAGCCAAAGGCTGAGCGGCCGCCAGGGGCACCTGCTGACCTGAGGTCACCACGTGACCACTGTGACCTGCTGCTCAACATCCCGCTGCTGAATCGAGCTCTGCTGGAAACTGGTCACGGCCCAAGGATCGAAGTAGACGACCTAAGAATTGAGACCACGCTTCCATTTGAGTCGTCTCAAAAGCGTTGGCTCGACCAGGGAAAAATCTTGGCTTTTGGAGTTTATAAGCATTTTATGTCACTTGGAATGGACGAAGAACATGCTACGATGGCAGCGATCAGCTTCCTTGAGGAGTTTCAGCAGCATGCACACGCGCCAACGACTCGGGAAGAGTACGAACGCCTGCGGACTATTCTGCCGGATCCGTGGCAGCTGGGATCGTTCTTCCACCCTTGCAGTGACCGGGCTCAGAACTGAGCTCACCGGCTCCTCTGAGCTCCGCGCTCCGCACTGAGCTCACCAGCCGAGCTCCGCACTCCTCACTGAGCTCACCGAAGTGACCTCACGCGCTTCACACTAGGCTCACCGGCTCCACTGAGCTCAGATCAACTTCTCAGCGGTTTGCAGTTGACTTTATTTGCAGTCAACGCTCGTGTCTGAACTTTGTATGGTATATGTTGTTTCTCAGATACAAATTACGAGTTTTGCCTTATTTCACTCTCGCAGAATGTTGCATTGGTTGAATGTGCTAAGTGCTTATAGGTGCTAGGATGTACTACCTATATTTTATCGTCAGTTGGACAGACTATATGTCATCGCAGAGTGTTACATTGGTTAATAGCATCATGCTATTAACCAATGTAACAAAATCAGATGCGTCGCCACCGGAAGGGGGGAGGGGAGCAGCAGGGGCCGGGCACCCCACTTTGCTTGAGTGAGGGGGTGCCCCCCCCAACTTTTTCGGGTTCTGATAATTAATTTAATCGCGTGTTTTGTAAAACTGAACGTCACCTTAAGGCCTGGCTACACTATGCGTTTTTTTCGTGCGTTTTTTGCGTGTTTGTGTGTTTTGCGTGATATCGTTCTAGAAAAAAGAACGATATTGCGTTTTTGTGATGTTTTTCACCTTAAATTTTAGTTACATAACAGTTATATTAGGATTTGTATATAACCAAAGTAAAAATTATATTGTTTAAAACTTTTTTCCCAGAACGATATTACGCAAAACACGCAAACCTGCAAAAACGCACGCAGAAAACGCATAGTGTAGCCAGGCCTTTATTCTTATAGTCTTGACCTTACTTAGGTATGTGTAGGCATGTCTGCCAAATAAACATGAAAAATGCGAAAACGTTCTATTTTAGTCCTGAGCTTCTGGAAAGCTAAATCGGTAAAAGTGAGGAAGACAAGGAAAGGAAAAAGTGTTATGTAAGACGGATTCCTACTCTTTTTAGACTTTCGTTTCCAAGGGTGACTGACAAGTGACAATGGACTCCAATAAATCTATTGGTGATAAAGCAACATTTTGGTGAATCGCAGCGATTTTCAGTGGGTACTACGCAAGCAAATGCCGAATGCGTCAAGAGGCTAAAATGTACGACAGCACTTACATTGTTTTACCACAAAGTAAACATAACAAAAAAATATCAGTAATTCATGCGAGGCTGAAATGGTAAAAAATGACCGACTTTACCCGCGCCCTGCTGGGGTGGGTGTTTGAACCCCCCCCCCCTGGCCCCTCCGTTTCTTTTTTTGCGAATAGCGCCGCCGTTTTTGTCACCCCTTATCACACATCAATTCCAGACAGGTTGTGAAAATTTCAGATCAAGGTCATTCAAGGTAAGGTCACCAGGTCACCTCAAGTGACCTCACCTCATACAATGTTTCAATGTATGCCATAGCTACACCGAGTGACCGATCACTTTGAAACTTTCAGCAATTGACAAGAGAAACAGAATGTACAACACATGTATTTCGGAATTTGTACATCGGTGACCTAAGGTCAGGTCGATTTTCCGACCTTCCCATTACCTATAAGTGAATGGGAGAAAATTAAAAACCACTTCTTTTGGATGAAAGTCATTCTAAGCACTCTCAGACACTGAATTACAAGTAACTTTGACACACTGAACATAAAATGGCACCCATGACCCCATGACCTCTCTTTAGGTTATCTCAGGTCACGAATGGAATCTCACAGTTTCTCGTGAATAGCTTTTGATAGAGGCATTCTAGAGCAAAAAAAAACCTTAGATGTGTTCATCCCAACGACACGGATCGACTGATACACAACATGACCCTTTCCGGTCAGGTCATGACCTTGGCCTGAGGTCAAATTATAGTTCATTCGATGCGTCTTGACGAGAGGAACACGATGCCGGTAACAGAAAGCTAGTGCTAGGCTTGAGTAAAAAAGTATTGCAGAAAACCTGTTTCGAAAAAAAATCGTCTATTTTGGCAGTTTTTGCCCTCTGCCGGCAAAACCATTGAATTAGGTCAAATCTGAGAGAATTACCTACTCAGAAAGCGAGTTAAAAGGACTAGAATTACTCAGAAAGAGCGTTAATAGGGCTACCGATTTCTAGACATTCACTGGAAGTTCTGCTCCAAAATGTTAGGCTGCTATCTTGTAAATGTAAAGTTTTTTTATCGCATCTCACACAATGTTATTAAAGTTTCTTGTGTGATGCACCAATCCTTTGGCATATATATATATATATAATATATATATATATATATATATATATATATATATATATATATATATATATATATATATATATATATATATATATATATATATATATATATATATATATATATATATATACATTGTCATTGTCTTTTTATAGGCATGCCACCATTTGTAAGTGCTACAGCTTGCAGGCCATTTAGGGCGGGTGCGACACATGCAGCTGTCCCGTTCGGCCGGCGTGCCCCGCACATCCCATGTGTCCGTCCCGGCGCAGCGGCCGCGCGCAGCTGCCTCTATTTATACACACAGCCCCGTGCCACCACCGCCGCCGCCGCCGACAGGCACGACACCACAGCAGTGCCAGCATGGCGGCCACAGTCGAGTATCCGCCGGCCGAGTTTTGTCGCAAATATGGCCGACTTTTAGCCCCCAACGGCGCCCTGCTTCGGCCCCAGCGAGCGTTCGCCGCCTACAAAGGGGCCGATGGGCAGGTACGCGAGAAGACCCAGAAGGCGTTCAAGGTCACCCTGAAGCGCCTGAGGCGATCGGCGCGCGTCTGTGTCGTCTGCGGGAAGCCTGCTGGTGAGTTTTGGGGACGGGGGAGCAGGGAGATATCGATTCTGCCATGTAGGGGGCGCTGTGCAAGATAACAAGCCTCGCGGTCGGGAGCAGACAGATTTGATGCCACTATAATCGCTATAAGAGGTGAATTGGCAATCAAATTGGTCCGAGAAATGATCGATGAGATCACTTTTAAAACCAATTTGCGCTGAAATATCCGAAAACGGTTTTGTATCAGGAAATCTACATTTGCATAGTCGCTTGCCGACTGTTATTTTTCGTATGTCCATCGATGCGAGGCAGTTGAAAGTTGAAACCAGTGGCGGATCAAGCTCAGAGTTTTTTTTTTTTGGGGGGGGGGCGGCAAACCATAACAATTTATCGATTCTTTCCATGCATCGTCCATAGGCGTAATGTTAAAATCATGCCGTTTGGGGGGCAAATGCCCATTTTGCCCCCCCCCCCTGGATCCGCCACTGGTTGAAACTGATTCAAACTTATGGCCATCGACGATTATCTCAACGTCCGAGGGTATCTTACCTCTGCCGGGGTACCGTATCATATGTAGGTATACCATTTATGTATGTAGGTATACCATATGTACATATACCAGTAGGTAATATCCCAGCTCAGTGCGCCGTCACACTTCACTGGCGGTGTAGAAACGCTGCCAGTACCCAGTAAACATGACGACGTCGGCCCGACGTCGGGCCGAGGCTCGGCCCGACGTCGGCCCAACGTCGGTTCAACCTCGGCCCGACATCGGCTGGACGTCGGATATGCCCGCATGTTCCGACGTCCAGCCGAAGTCCAGCCGACGTCGAGCCGACGTCGGGCCGAGATCGTTTGCCGAGGTTGACGAGATCGTTTGTCGTTGGACTGACGGGGCCGACGTCGGCATGTTTATTGGGACAACGCGCCAAAAATATCAACCGGCGGCGGGATTCGAGCCCCCCAGTCGCCTACGTCGGCATGTTTACTGGGACAACACGCCAAAAGCATCAGCCGGCGAATGGATTCGAACCCCGTGTCATTCGAACGCGAGGTGTAGTGCGCTAACCACTACACCACGCAACCAGCTAACAAATGTGGTTTGTTTTGTTGGGTTATGCCCTTTCGGTTTGACAAGACCATTTCAGAGCCGGAAGGATCATAGGATGGAGACATTGGTCTTCTTGGCGAGCACCCTGGGTCCAGTTCATATAGAGTCCCTGGTCCCATTGCTGTTACGTGACACTTATTGGAAAGGGCGATCCCACAATGGATTCATATAGCCACTCTTACACACCTGCACCAACGTTTCCCAAAGTGTCCCTTTGATAACTTGGCACTTTGGCAAAGTGACACTTGCCGGCTGGCCTTTCTATATGAACTGGGCCCGGCCCTGGTGAGTTGCCGGGGCTGAGCCTGACCAAAGGATAGGCCGAGCAGCCCCCAAGCACTCACCGCACCCGGCTACGGGCGAGCTCGGCTTACGGGCAATCCCAAATGGGATAAAGTTTCCCGTCCAGTCCGGATCAGGGGGTTGCGGCGTGGAGGAAGATTTGGGTTTCCTGAGGATATTTTGGATACAGAAGCTCTTTATGAAACATGAAACATGTATTTTATATTATTTTAACGGTCAAAACAGCGGCCGATGTCGGTCCGACGTCGCCCCGACGTCGGCCCGACGTCGGCTGGACCTCAGCAATTGATCTCGGTCCGACGTCGGCCCGACGTCGGCTGGACCTCGGCTGGACGTCGGAACATGCGGGCATATCCGACATCCAGCCGACGTCATGCCGAGGTTGGACCGACGTCGGGCCGACGTCGGCATGCCGATGCCGAGTTGCCGACGTCACCCCGACGTCGGCCGACGTCGGGCCGACGTCGGCATGTTTACTGGGTAGGTACACCGTACATAGGGGAGAGTGCTGCAAAGCGGCCACCCGGGGCAAAGCGGCCACCCATCGTTTTAGACTTCCACAGCTGGCGTCAGCTCCAATTTATGGTTGCCAATTATAGTTCTCTTCGCGGTGGTTTTCGAATGAGCTACACCGGCGTTTCCGGCCCGTCGCTGCATAGTCATGTGATACACGGAAAAAGTACCTATTCTTCGCCAGGTTACCTATCTATTTTTACGATTTTCAAATGTTGTTTTATCCCACACCCCTTTGGAATTTTATTTAAGCACTCTCGTTATCGTTAGTTAAACAATCTGTGGTCATCCTAGAAGTCTTTTACCAACTGAAATGCTTCTTGCTCCACTAACAGCTGAGCTGGAATATTTTTGTTTCGGACGGTATGCGCGGGGCAAAGTGGACGGGGCAAAGTGGCCAGCTCCCAATCAGCAATGAGCTGCTTCCACCTGAACACCAAACGTTGCTGATGTTTAAATGTTTCGTCATGCGTTTACTTCGGCCACCTCTCGGTTATGCATTAGTGATGAGCTACAAAAAATGCAATCAAATGTTTTTTCCATGAATGTCCTTTTTTGTTTAGCTCCAGGTGGGAAGATGACAACTAAACATCCATAAGTGGCCATCCCACCTTAACATTAGTTTTGAGTTGAGATAGCCAAATTGGTGGCCATGGCCTGAAAATACCGGTTTGGGCACTCACAACATCGACAAATGCTTTAATTCGGAGGTATGGAATTTCAAGCTTGCAGTTTTCGAAATCTAAGGGGCTAATGCATTGGAATGCCCCTTAGAATTTGTGACGTTGCAGCGCAGATCTAACGATTTTAAATCTTTTACTATAACGTTTGGTAGCACGCGGTGGTATTGCCGCTTTGCGCGCAACAAGTGCCGCACTTTCAAATAAAGTCGCTAG